CAGCAGGAGGGCTGAGCTCCTGTTCGTGTCTCCATGTGCTCCTGGTGCACTGACACTGTGGAAAGGACTTCTCTCCTCAGCCTGGGAGTGCCCAGGAAGAGTTTCGTATTATGGCATTCCTCAGGAATGGTTCAGAGTTCCTAATTCTCCCACATTTTCTGCCTTTTTGTGTGTCTGCAATGGACCTGTTGTGGAAGTCATAAATTTCTGTGCTTTTTCTAGTTCTGTAGAAAAAGTAACGTGGGCAATACAGACCCAGGTTACTGCTGCTCATGTGTGGTGTCTTTGCAGACACAAAGGATTTACCTGCAGGAAAACCAGCGAGGGCCCAGGGAGTTGTAAACCCTTAGCTGAAAAACAGCAGAGCAGGAGGAACTAATTCGGGTACAGCCACAGAGTCTGAGAACAACAATTTATTTCCCAATTTTTTTGAAATAGCTGTAGAGTTCAAAAAGAGACACCACAGAGCCCCAGCAGCACTAATTCAGCTTTAACCTGAATCAGAGCTACCGACTGTACAAAATGGTACAAAAGCAGAGGACAGAGCAGTGAGTGCAGCTGTGAGCTGTCAGCCCTCACACCGCACACTCACCCACCTCCAGCCCCCCTGGCACAGTGAAAACTGCATATTTTGAAATTCTCAAGATTCTGGAATGGTCAAGTTTCAGAGTTTGGTTTCATCTTAAAATCCTCTATTTCTGGAAAATGAACTGGTCAATGAACTCATTCTGGTCAGCTTCGATCTTGCACAGAGTCTCGTACTCTACCCGGTACCTGGAGGAGAAAACCAGTGGTCACAGGAGCTCCACCTGTGTGAGGTGCTCAGGGCAAGGGCCCTGGGCTCCTTGTGAGTCACCTGTGAGCAGCAGCTGCCTCAGAGAGCCTGTAGCAGCCACACACGAGGCTGTCACAGGGGTGCTGAGTTCTGCACTGCCCCAGCTCCTGTTTATTCAGCCACAAAGTCCTCAGGGACGAACCTTGTTCGGTTCACTGCAGGCCCTGAAGGGAACTCCAGGCCTGTGGCATTGTCCAGGTGTGCTCTGTGCAGGACACACCTGCAGTGCAGGTGTGAACAACTGCTGAGGTGTGAACAACTGAACTGTCTGAACAAGCTGAGGGTCCCCCCTCAGGCACAGGTGCTCAGCTCTGTGTCAGCCCTGTGCTTTCCCAGCCTGCACAACACCCTGAGAGCACTGGACACAGAACTCACCTTTCCAACTGCATCTTCTTCTCGGCTATCAGAGCCTGGAGCTGCTGTTCCTGAGCCTCTCTCTGCTTTGTGATGGACTTCAGCAGGTTCCGTGCCCCGATGGCCTGGCAGGGGAGAGTGGGCAGGATGTGTGTGTGGGGTTTGTTAATTGTTTCAGCCCCTTGCCATCCAGCAGGTTGGTTCTGCAGTGTTCCTGCCACACCAGCAGTAAGGGAGGGTGACAGGTGACCCTGAGGGTTGGGACTGGCCACAGTCCTGGGCAGGTTGGACAGGTAGAAGCCTTTGGGACTGCCCTCAAACTCAAAGAACAGTCAGTGGCTCCAGGGACACAGACTGGGCACCAGTCCTACAGCCAGACAGGCTCAGGCCTCTCCTGCCTCTGGAGGACAAAGTTCCACCAGCAGAAGGAGTGATTAAACCCCACTCGTTCTGTTTCTGTGCAGAAGACAAGCAGGAAGAGCAGCACTGGTCCACGCAGGAGTGACATGGCACCGTCCCAGGCCTCTGGACATGAATATCAGTTAAAAAGCCCAGCGAAGCCCACGGGAACGCGGCGGGATGCTGCAGGGGAACCGCCTGGGAGGGAGGGGCAGAGCACACCAGAAACCAAGAATTAACTGCACGGTACCTTCATCTTCTCACTTTCCGCAGCTTTGGCCAGTTGGTCAACTAGTTCAATCAAGCTACTCACGATCTTCTGAAATTCCGCCGTCTCTGCCTGCAAAGAGAAGAGTCGCCCGGTGGCACCGGAGCAGCCCCGTGGGGACGGCGCTGCACTGGGCACAGCCGGAGCTCCCGTGGCCCTTCCCGGCCGGACGGACACTCACTGTCCACGAAGGTCCTGCACTCCTCGCGCAGCTGAGCCGTCTGCGCCGC